AAATACATAAAGTATTGTATAATTAATGGATTAAAAATAAAAGCTGTATTACTTAGGTCAAAATATTTGTATTTCCTCAATTGCACCAAGCAATTAGCAACTACAAGATGCCATCAAGAGAACCACAATAACGAGCCCTGGGATTAGCATTCAGGCTAGCCTAAGGTATAGTTCTCGGTGTAGGCCTATATCACCTACAATAAGAGTTTACCTTTATCCTAAACTCTATTCATTATTCTAGAAGATTTCAGAATAAAACCTCTTAGTGGCGTTGGTAGCCGATAGGCCCTAAGCATTCAACCCATCCTCCTCTTTAGATACAGACAGACAAACTGACAGAAACACACGCGCACACGCACACACGCACACACACACACACACACACACACACACACACACACACACACACACACACACACACACACACACACACACACACACACACACACACACACACACACACACACACACACACACACACACACACACACACACACACACACGCTCACGAACAACAATCCGTTTCGCGCCGATGAGGAGTACTTGAACAAAACAAAACATATCTTCAAATAAAAATAAAGCTCTCCCGATTTGGTATTTGAGCGCTACATCGTCCGCAACACTCCTCTAGGTGTTTCTTCTACACACAGCCTCGTCGTTCATCACATATATGAAACACACCCTTATATATATATAAGAACGTGCTAAAGAACTGAAGACGTTCCTCCTATTACACACGTCTTCCAAATCTGTCATCCTTTTCTTCCCTCCTCCCTCTACTCTTGTCTTTTTCCTCCACTTATTTTTCCCTCCTCTCTTTTTCAAACCTCCTCCGTCTTATCCACTTCTCTCCGATTTCTTTCTTGCATGGACTAAGCTCCTAGCAAGGATGGGTTGCCCGTTCATATGGCAAGGATTGGACTGGTATTTACGAGTTACCTTTCTGATGGATCTGTAGTCACTGGAATCTGACTTAAACCGAATTAGAAACTTATATTGTATTTTATATAAAAGGCAATGTAAGTGCTCCAAGTGCTATATAACCGCTACGGCTATGTAGGACTTGGAAGGGATCAGGATAAGAACTTGGGATGGGACTTTGAGAAGGAATGGTGCCCAACCACTTGGACTGGACGATAGAGCGACGATCTCGCTTCCTGCAGGTCGGCTTTCAATCCCCGACCGTCCAAGTGGTTGGGCACCATTCCTTCCCTCGGACTCATCCCATATCCTTATCCTGACCCCTCCCAAGTGCTATTACAGTCGTAATGACGTGGCGCTTTCCCCTGATAAATCCCTCCCTCCACATGGGTCTCCCTCATCATGTCTCCCACATTCTTGACGGAGAATCGCAAACCCCCGAGATTTTTTCTCCAAAGTTGGTGGTAATTAATCCAGCAGTTAGTGGAGAAAAATGAGGAATCACTCATTACAACTTCTACGATGAAGTGAGGCGTGGGTGGAGGAAGAAGAAGGTGGGTGCTGGGTAGGTGGGGCGAGTTAAAAAATGGAGGGAGGTTTGGTTGAAGGTGGGACGGGGAGATGGGTGGAGGCTGAGCTGAGATACGAGGTAAAAACAGGTGAGGAAGGTTGTGGATATTTGAAGACGGGCAAGTGGGGGTGGAGGTAGTTCAAGAGAGGAAGGGTGGGTAACTGAATGAGTCACATTAAGCATGTAGTCACTACTTTATTAACAAACCTAACCTAACCCAATATAGCCAAACCTAGACCAACCTACTGCTTTGTGGTCCTGACATAGGCTACGCCTGCGAGAGTAGCCTATCATCTTTCAGGGACCCTGAGGTCTATCTGATTCTGATTTTGAACACTTCCACTCACCCCTTACGACATGGCGGGATCTGCAGCCTGTGACAAACGTGAACACCACGTAGGTAAATGTGATTGACTGGCAAGCAGGAAGATAGGAAAGTAAGGTAAGGTTGGCATGGCATGGTGTCAAGCAGGAAGGCACGCGGTCAAGGTAGTCAAACAGGCAGGTAGGCAAGCAGGCACAGAGACATGGAGAGTTCGGGGAAGAAAAATCATACATGACAAACCGACTAGAGTTCTACAATAATTGAGACCTGACAAGAAAAGAAAGGCATATATCATATAAATAGATTGTCAGAAGGTATTTGACGTGTCGTACAAGAGGCTCTTTTACCAGTGCTCAACGAAACCGGAGCCACTCACATGCCTTTCCTACGTAGTACAAGAGAAAATAATCAAGTAGGAAATTATTCACATCTAGAGGGTGTGACCCTTGTTTCTAAATAGCAAAATGGTATGAGAGAAGACCAGTTCTGCTTAGCCTAACGTACCTAGTAAAGTTTTGCAACAAAACAACATCAATAAAGTAAGAAAGGGAAGGATGTTTTAAACGAACGATTTCTTACCTGAATTCTCAGAAGGCATCTAAGGCAGGTATAAAATCTGATTACAGAATATTCTTATCAGATCGGAAACAATGGTTAATTACTAGGGTCTACTACTATCTCAAGTGGACTAGAAAATTAATGCTTTCATATCAATGTTTTAGGATGACCCGAAGCAGAATTTCACGAAGGCTGTAAAATGATGCAGGGTGGCGAGAATAAACGGTCACCCGACTTCAGCAATGTATTGGAGACGCATTGGTAGAACACAGCATAGGGTTATCTTGAGATGATTTCGGGGCTTAGTGTCCCCGCGGCCCGGTCCTCGACCAGGCCTCCACCCCCCAGGAAGCAGCCCGTGACAGCTGACTAACTCCCAGATACCTATTTACTGCTAGGTAACAGGGGCATCAGGATGAAAGAAACTCTGCCCATTGTTTCTCGCCGGTGCCCGGGATCGAACCCGGGACCACAGGATCACGTGTCCAGTGTTCTGTCTGCTCAGCGACCAGGGAGCCGGTGAAGTAACGTGGGTCAAGGAGTAGCGAAAATAAGGGTAACGGAGTAATGGTATGGGCGAACAAATGGGTTGAACAAAAAAGTATTCTAAACAACAAAAATGTAAATGCTGGTGAAAATACAGAGCAGGTCCTGCCGGAGGTGGGAAGGCGCGGGGGCGTGGGTGGAAGCTGAGCATTATATAAACAAACGACGAGGACAATTTGCTGGACTAATTACACTTCTTTGTTATGTGGGTACAGGCAGGTTAGTGACTTTTATTATGCTCTAGTGGTGTGTGGATCAAGGGGGAGGGAGCAGAGAAGATGAAGAAGCAGCAGCAAGTTACGGAGCTTGAGCAGGTGGCATAGGGGAGGGAGAGAGAGAGAGAGAGAGAGAGAGAGAGAGAGAGAGAGAGAGAGAGAGAGAGAGAGAGAGAGAGAGAGAGAGAGAGAGAGAGAGAGAGAGAGAGAGAGAGAGAGAGAGAGAGAGAGAAGGGAAAGGGGCACTGTTTGCCTCTAACTCTTTTAGAACATTTACCCATAGCAAATATAAGCTTGGCCTGTGTTTGAAAAATCAAAGGCAAGCGAGCAGATGAAAGTGCTAACGTACAGAGGTTCAATTTTACACTCTATCAAGCAAGAACGTAGCCTAACTCTACATCTATAAACCCGCAAATTCTAACACTACATCTATAAAGCTGCAAAGCCCTAACACTACATATATAACGCGGCAAAGTCCTAACACCACCTATAAATCGCCAAAGCCCTAAAACTACACCTATAAAGCTACAAAGCCCAACACCTATAAAACCAACCCACAAAAACAGAAATTAGTTTATACAATTAATTATATACATAGACAGTTTAATGATAATATTTTAGAATCCCAGAATAGTTGAACAAAACGAGAGTGAGAGTGAAAGAGAGAAAGTGTGTTCTCGGCGTTACGGAAACCCAGTTGTGCTCTACCCGTAAACCCACGCCCACGCCTACACTCACGCCTACGGCCCCGGAACAAGCCCATTACTCTGTGATCACGTGGTATCACACAACCCCTTCAGGAGTCAAGCAACAGAGGCTCGATAATGAGGTTAAGTATCGGGGCGACGGGGCATCAGGTCCTGCGGACGTGGACTGTAGCCTAGTTACTCTTCCACCCGTTCCTTCCTCCTTATTGGTGTCATAATTATTATTGTTATTATTATTATTCTTATCAATTATTATTATTGATAATTATTATTAATTATATGTGTGTGTGACTAATTATTATTAATTATGTGTGTGTGTATCTCGGCCAACAACAGGAGTGAATTCACTAAATGAAGGAATAGAAGGGGAATGTGATAAGAGACGAAAATAAAAAAAATTGTGTAACAAGAGAACGGGGAATAACAAGTAGGGGTGACAAAAGAAGTGTGATAACCGGGAGTGAGATAACAGGAAATAGTGATAGCAGAATGAAGTGTGATAAAAGGAAAGAGTGATAGCAGAATGAGGTGTTACAACAGGAAATAGTGATAGCAGAACGAAGTGTGACAACAGGAAATAGTGAAAGCATTCACGGGCTCACCATAGCCCGTGCTACTTGGAACTTTTTGTTCTAGGTAGCGAATCTTTAACAACAACAACAGTGAAAGCAGAATGAAGTGTTACAACATTAAATAGTGATAACAGAATGAAGTGTGACAACAGGAAATAGTGAAAGCAGAATGAAGTGTTATTAAATAGTGATAGCAGAATGAAGTGTGACAACAGGATATAGTGAAAGCTGAATGAGGTGTTACAACAGGAAATAGTGATAGCAGAATGAAGTACGAAAACAGGGAGTATAGCAAGACGGGTACGTGTGACAAGAGGAGTGTGTTGATAACAGGAAGTGTGGTAACAGTGATAAGAAGAGGAAGTGTGATAACAGTGATAAGATGAAGAAGTGTGATGTCACAAGATAAGGAATTAAGCGTTGTAAGTGACAAGATAAAGAAGTGTGACTAGAGGAGGAAGTGTGGTATCTGGGAGCGACAAGAGGAAGAAGTACGAGAAGAGGAAAAGTGTGATAACAGGGAGCGACAGGAGATGCGAGTGTGACAAGAGGAAGAAGTAACGGAGTGTGTGTGACAGGACTCACCTGCATTAGTTGGCTGGAAGTTAGCAGCGAGGAGGAGTGCCGTGGTCAGGAGGATGATGGGCAGGGAGGGGCCAGTGAGTGGCACCCATCCAGACCACGCTGAAGGGGCAGCCCCTCTCCACTCACTCTCGCCCCACTCATCCCCCCTTCCAAGGGAACGGCTAAGAACACCTGCTTGACACGGGAATTCTCTTAGGGCGCACTGTGAACAGGTCTCCGGCAGTTGGCTTTGGGTACACGGCAGACACACCTGCTGCTGCTGCCCCGTCTGCTGGTGTGGGTACTCCTCCTGGCTCTGCTCCTGCTGTCTTTGATGCCCTTTCTGTAGGTGGCGGTGCTTGGAGTGGTGTGTGGAGGTGGGCCGCTCAGGGAACCCTAGGGGCCCAGGTCCCCAAGAGAGGGGGTCACACATCGGTCTCCCTCAACAAAATAAACGCTAGACACCACCTCGCCCTCCACGATCACAAGCGAGACCTCATCCTCGAGGTGAGGCTTTGGGCGGCCTACCATACTTGGTCTTCTAAGCCCTGAAGTGCATCGTCAATGGTGAAGGATAAGAGATGCAGCAGCAGCAGCAGCAGCAGCGTCGCCTGAGGAGGTAGGGACGGAGCAGAGGTACTCGGGTCCTCCTGACGCTGGAATCAAAACAACGCCAACACTGCCTACTACGGCCAAAATAGAACCCAATGCCAACGAACTGCCCCGAGACGGGAAAATCCACTTTTTGTCGTGATTAATTCGCTCTCCACCGATAGGAGAACGTAGTTTACTACCCCAAAGCCACAATATATGTTTACAAATGATTATAAGAGTTCTCACTTTAACACCACAACCCTAATGGGCACCACAAAAGATCTATATGACACACAACAGCGCACAACCTCCCACTCCCACATCCAAACAGACACTGAACGGTGCTGTATGTTTTCGAGGTCGAACAGCTGAGCCCTGGAAGCAGATGCCGATTCGTGTTTTCTAGCGAAACTGGAATGCCTCGCATGAATCAAATCAAAGGCGGAATTTTTGAGTAGTCGCGAGAATGACGGCTGTTCGCCGGGGAAAACAACGAACAAAGGAACAATTTGTAATTTAAATATATAGATAACAACAAAAAGAGAGAGGTTGCTTCCAGGTCTCTCTTCCCGCCTCTGATGCCATTCTCTAGATTAAGTACTGGCTCCTGACTCTGACTTCTGTTCCGTTTTTCTCAAATGAGTCATTCATGTGTGTGCCGGCCTACCAAAACCCCTGCTCACCCTCCGACCACTCGCCCTAAACCGCGATAGAACCAAAACACACAAAAACAACAAAATCCCGGCAAGCCACGTGTTAAGGACAGAATTATAAACTTTAGAAGTTTAGTCTGCTTTTTTCCTCTCAAAGTGCAATTATCCCGCAGGGAGAAAAGTCATGTTTAAGTCATCATCACATGAAAATTAATAGTTCTGCCTTCTACAAGCATGGGAATTGGCGGAGAACAACAAAGCATTCAGTTTACATCTGATGGTGTTTCATTGATTTTTGGCGTAGGGGAGCGCAAGCGCACGAGTCACCCCTCTCAGAACTGAAAGAAAACGGGCGTCCAGACGGGCTGGTTGACAGTATCACTACAGCCTGGCATGGGACGGTTGCACGTCCGACATGACATCAATTTGTAACTAAAACTTTAAAAAATAGGAGCCACTGTAGAGCTGGTGAAGTCTGTCAACATCAGCACTAGAACTGACAGATGGGAAAATAAAAGCAGAGCACAAAAAGATCCTATGAGAAAAAGTTCTTTGGCCTTGATGTTCGCTTCCCACATCATATATTTATATATATATATATATATATATATATATATATATATATATATATATATATATATATATATATATATATATATATATATATATATATATATATATATATATATATATAAGGGGTACCTGGATCATCTTTGGCACAGACCATTATGGCTCCTCTGTCTGTGTCCCACAGCCTTGAAAAAGAAAATAAAGAGTATTCAGAGAAGACCTTGTGGATTCTCACTGAACACTTTAATCTTTTCTTCTCCTACCACCCCATTATTATATATATATATATATATATATATATATATATATATATATATATATATATATATATATATATATATATATATCAAAAGAATGTTATAGGTTATATAACATATCAAAATAATGAAACATTTTCAATATTACTCGTCCACTTACGGTATTATTCACAATACAACATGTAGCCTCATGGATAGACAAGCTAAACTACACTCCAGCAGACATCCACAGCAGCAGGCGGCTGATGCTTCATCAGACCAGAATTATTTACGAATATATTCTTTCTATAAACCGCCCTCAACATAGTGTGTTGGTCACTCTCACTTCCCGCTTCCTCACACTCACCATTCACTCTAATACTCTTGAGTCTACCAACATGCACTCGTTCATAGTGACCAAGAGGACTAATACATCGGAGGACGCACTCAGTCTTGTTGTTTATTGACTTTTGCACTCGACATTTACTATGATGTTTTCATTACTTGTTCTATGTACTCCCTGAACATAACATACACATGAACATGAACGTAACATGCTCTAACTCTTCACGTCTCACCATCGTCTCGCCACCGCATCTATTTGTCCTATTTTTCCCTAATATTGATTTTAATTGTATCCCCGACTTAATAATAGAATTTGAATTTTTTGTGGTGTTCATATAAAAGAGAAACAGCAAAGTTTGTTAAGATATTAACTGCAGTCTGCTAAGTGTGCAAAATACAAACTTTATTTAGGCTTCATTTACAATTCTAATAAATAGTATGTAAAATTGTGAATATAAACGCTAGATAAATAAAGAATACAAAGCAGGACTGTAGGAGAGGAAAATTAGATGCCATAAAACTCTTAACTGCATAACCCCCTAAATGGAAACTAATAATTATTTGGAATATAAAATACATGAAGTATAAATGGTTGTTATTAACTTGTAATGAAGAGAAGGAAACGTCCACGGTATCGTTGTAGAGTGAACCCCTACATTAATTGTTAGACAGTACGTACATGTTGGTGATCACACACAGGCACATACATCACACAAAAACTATAGCTCCACCCACACAAAACCATAGCTCCACCCACATCTATACCTCACAAAACCCTAACTCCTTATACTTCACAGCTCCCTCTCCCTCTAACCCACGCCCCAGACACACCCAATCTCCTTCAAGAAAAATAAAATTGGAAAGAGAAGTAAAAAAGAAATGAAGGCGAAATTTCTAGGTTGAAATAAGGGTTCGCGACGAGAAACATTAAGGAGTGTATTCTCTACCTCTCCAAGCCTCATGCGTCACCTTACACAAATGTCTCCTATGTCCTTCTTTAAGCCCATAAAATACAAAATTTAAGCTGAATTTGTATGTATTGTGCCAACGAATATACTTTAGCAAGCTTAATTAAATAGTTTTAATTTAACATTAAATATAAAAATAAGGTTTCGAAACTACAGGGTTCTCGTATACCCGTAGAGAGGTGCATTTTCTTTCATAAATACGCTGTGATCACTTTACTCCTGAACTTTGGCCGGAATTATAGCATTCTTGAGGGAAGAAAGTATGATGGCATGCTCCTTTGATGGTCCTGGTAGTCGGTGAATATTAAACCTTATCATCTAAAATTCGAAATTGCAAGTCCTCATCAAGTTCAAAAGTGCAGACCATTATCAAGTCAAAACTGCAAACCCCATGTTCAAAAGTGTAAGCTCTCGTCTTTAATGTATCTACACAAGACATCGTTTAACCTTCAAAGTGTTACCAAGAAAATAACATGGCTTCGGAAAGGCCCGCTACAAGTATACAAAGACCAGAGGCTCGACGGTTCTTTTCCTAAGCTGCGAGGGATATACAGTTTAAATTAAAAGGTCACCCATTCGGAAACTGTTCAGGATTTAAGGTTAATGGAAGGTTAAGGTCAATATGTTTTCCCCTATCCTATCATTTAATGTATTAGGATAACTTGTTTTAATTATGAGATATAATATCAATAATAATACATGATAAGAGTAAAATGTAGAAACCCACTAGTCCTCAGAAGATGCCATCAAAAGATGGAAATTTCACAATGAAAATATTCCTGTTTGGCACATTTGAAAATAGGATATTATGGACTCGCGTTCATGTTATTCGCGTTCCACGGTTCTTTTTAATCACCAATTTTTTTTCATTCCTTTGAGCACAACTAATGGCCGCATCACCATACGATATTAAAACTGGCCGTAGGAGGAGAGCCTGCAGCCAGCGCTCTAGCACATATCGAGGGTATAAATAGGACTTTATATCTTCATGTCGCTAAGTGGGATCGGAAATTAAAATATTGATTGGTGGTTGAGAATGTAGTCGGCAGCGTGTATACTGCCTCACTCAAAAACCTGCGTTCGAGTCCTCTAAGTAACCAATACTCAGGTTATTCTCGTAATTGTCTCGCCCTATTCTCGTTATTCTTTGTGGTAGTTTGTATACATATTGTATATATATGTTAGCTTTGTATAATTGCGCTTTGGGGCCCAAAGCGCAATTATAAATTTGAACGTACTCTGTATTCAAAATCGGTAATTTCTCACCTATAAATTAATATCATTGTGATATTATTATTCGGTGTATAGTTAGGCCAAGGTTAAGTTTTAAATTTTCTTGACCATTGTTTGTATCTGCAGTGGGCTGACGAGCGTTAGATTTACAAACCCGTCCTCAGGCATGTTAATTCCATCCAGCGGTCGACCCCAAGGACGCATTCATAAGTTTTAACATGCTGTCAACAGGGAATATGTACACCGAGAGGTGTAACCCGTTTCTCGGAGTACATACACAGAGAGTTTACTATAGTATACTTGCGGGTAGGTCAGAAAGCTCTAAATTGTGGCGACGACGTTTCGGTCCTTCCTGGTCCAGAATGGTCCAGGACGGACCGAAACGTCGTCGTCGTCTCATCTTCTGGTGTGTGGTGTAGTTTTCATGAACTCCTGCTCTCTCAGCCCTGCCACTGACTGCCACTCTCTTTATTTCCGGAGATACAGTGTCAATTATTAACATTTTTAACTTCTTGGAATCACGAAATGAACTTTCCTGGGGAGTCTGACAGTAATTTGAGAGACAGGATCAAAGTGTCTTTATTGTCCCCGCTCGCTAACTCGCTCTCCAAATTTCTTCCCAGAAAAAGTGTCTGAAGAAAAAAGGTACAATCTCGGAAGTTCTTCAATAAATTTCGAGAGAGAGAGAGAGACAGAGAGAGAGAGAGAGAGAGAGAGATAGAGAGAGAGAGAGAGAGACAGAGACAGAGAGACAGAGACAGAGAGACAGAGACAGAGAGAGAGATATAGAGAGACAGAGAGAGAAAGAGAGAGACAGAGAGACAGAGAGACAGAGAGAGAGAAAGAGACAGAGAGAGAGAAAGAGAGAGACAGAGAGAGACTCGGGGCAATGTGGTGGGACTGGGATAACTGGTGGGGGAAACCACAGCACAACCCTGAGCTGTCTAATCACAACGCGGAATTAACAAACCGAGGCCAAAACATTGTCACGTTATTGCTCAACAAAAGAGAAATTTACCTTTGAATAGCGCTTCTTAGTACAGACACTGGAGGACGACCCGGATCTCCTCACAATTCCCAACACGGAGTTATCCAATCCTGCGTTGATCCATACCGGCTCATTTTGGAGTGGTGAAAAAAATATATACCAACAAGCGAGAGTAAAAGCTTGTACAAAAAATAAAAATGAAAAAAGTTATCGTCAGAAATGGATAGTTTTTTTGTTTTTATTTGTAAGAGTGTTTTCCCTGTATTATTATTAACATCTTTATTGATAAAATATACGGTTTTGCCTAATCGGAGAAATTCTGTTAGGTCTAATTGCATTGAGGATG